GACAATACAAACTGTTGTGTACCTCAGTGTACTTCAAAAGGTTCTAAAAACCCAGAATTAAGTTTCCTTAATTTCCATGCAAGAGTAGACTAAGAAGCTTTGCTTTGGATCAATGTTCATTAGCCGAAGAGACGAATGGATAGGGCAGGACTTAGAAGAGAAGGGCTAGCTCATAGGCTTTTCCCCCTGAAGCAGAAAGTGAGAAGTGATGACGTAAGCCTGATGACACTGAGCGCGCTAATATAATTCACAGTCTTGAAATTAGCGTTTTTGAACCAGCGTTTAAAATGAGCTGTGTGGGAAAGATAGCTATAATTTGGAAGAGGCAATGTTACGGCTTTATTTTTAGACTGAACCATTAAAAAATTTAATAATGCTTACTCAATTTTAAAATAATAGATAAAAATGTGCTACTCTTTTAACATAAAGCTCAGTGGGTTTTTTTTTTTTTTTTTCATTTTTATTTGGCACGTTTTTTTATTTAATGCACGTTTATTCATCATTTCTTTATTTGCATGCTAACTGAGGGAATTTTTATACTGATTCTAAGATAACTATAAATAGGCTATTTAAATTTACTCAAAAACAACTTTATATTGACAGGTTTAAACATATATGACATATAGCAACATTCTGCTAACCTACGTTTGATTTTTTGCCTATTGTAAATTTTACATTGTTATATTCCTCTTCCGATCATATATAGATATTTTAAAATAATTTTGTAATTTATATACTATCTATATTACAATTAAATAAATGTTATAAGATTGTTACCTTATTTTGGCAAATAGCTTTATTCCGAGTACCTAAAACAGTTATTTAATTTTTTCAAAAGTGTGAGTAAAGGAAGCAGGTCTTTTTATGCCAATTACTTTGATGTTTTCTTTGATGTTTTTTTTATGCCAATTACTTTGATGTTTTATTATATTATCTAGAATGCTAATCTAGCACAAATCTAATCAATATTAGTTACAAAGGATACAATAAGAATAACTTAATATCTTAAAACAAAATTAGTTTGTTAAATACTTGTTATTCTTGTTGGTATATTTTGGTACTATTCATAATACCGAAGATATTATCGATTAACTCAAGAAGTCAATCTTTCTGATTTCCTTGGGGTAGAGTATACCTTTTTGCGGTACTTTTTGAAATAATGTTTTCTCTGGAGCGACCTTTTGTCTCTCGTTTCCTTACCATTAAATAATTTGGTTTAGTCTTCTCATCTCTATTTAAAACTCTTAATAATATCAAAATTTAAAAACATTACATCTTCTAAAACAAATCCTCTATCTAAAACGCGGTTCTCAGTAATTTAGGCAGAGCGCGAATGAGACCTCTGATTAAAACAACTACACATTTTGAAAGAACCAACTTAGTCCAGTTTAGAGTCATAGCAGAGTTTTTCAATCTATATGCATTTCGTCGAAACTGAAAACGCTATTTTTTTCTACACAATACAAATATTCGCCTCTTTCCTTCTTCTTTGAGTAAAACATTACTTTAATTTCTTGGACACAACACTAAAATTTAGAAAACACTAAAAAATAAATAAACACCATTTCTTTAATTGATAATACTAGTAAAGATATTCCAAATTTTTTCTTAATTTTTCTAATTTTTTTTTCTTTCTAAAATCATAGCTCTAAGATGACAGAGCTCTTATGACGATGCAACGTGAATATTTTCACTAGTCCCCCTGATTTTTTTTTTCTTCTTTTTCATAATATGCATTAATCTGCGTCTTTAAAAATCGGCTTTAGACTTTTTTCCAAATTCTCCGATTTGTGTTCCCTCCCCCCCCCAAATTTCGCTATTTGAGATTTTAATTTCTGATACCATTTCTGTCTAGTCGTCCACCTTCTTTGTTGCTGACAAACATTCTAAAATTTTCTTTTCTCTATTTTTCATACTTTAATTACAATTTAATACAATTTCTAAGGATATTATTGGTTCTTCAATTATCAATGCATTCTTGTTTATCCTTAACATTCAGGATGATCTACATTTTCATTTGCGAGTTTTATTTCAAAATCATGAAAATTTGATTTATTATTGTCATCATAATTTACTTTCGGCACAGCATCCATTTCAACAGTTTTCTTTTTGTGGCTATCCAAACAAGCGATTTTTCATATCATCTTCATAAACACTGCATAAAAATGTTCGCTGCAGATTTTTCGCTCTTCACATTAATAGAATCTTCTCTTTGACATTTGTGTATCCATTCTTTCGTCAAAAGTAAACTCTCATTGGATCCTTTGGTCCCATGAAATAAATATCTCATCCTTTCATACTCTGTAAGTGCTACGGCACGTTACTGTAGCGTAAAAAGCCATATTACGTAACGATACTTTACAATATAGAATTTAAAATAAAAACTGACTAAATTACTATATATAAATTATTTTTAAATATATACATTATTAGAAAACAGATTATATATTATTAAATTAATTTGGGATATGTAACCTCTAGAAAAATCGTCTCGCGCCCAATGAAACACTGTTTTAAACGCGGGAAATCAGGACATTGGCATCACAGGACGTCAGATTATTGCCTGTTTCGTCCCCCCATTAGGCTCGGTCGGCGAGGAGTCGAACAAGAACTGAGCTAGCCCTTCTATTTATACTGGGATAGGGTGCTTCGTATTGGAAAATCTGTTTCATCACGAATGTGTGTATGTTCCAACACTTCACACCAAGTGATTATAATTTGCTACGTAAGTATATTCCATATTTCTGTAGGTATATTACTGTAACATCCCTGTTGCGTTTTAGAAGTTTATAAATGTTTTCATTTTTCATTCATTCGAAGGTTATAAATTCTGTTTAGGGAAAGTATGTGAAATATTAATGTCAACTTTAAAGGTCATATTGCTTTGAATTCGGCTTGTTAATGACTTTATTCGAGTTCCATAAAAGATACATGAAGAACATATCATAGGCATTCTGTTGACAGAAAATTTTGTGAGGCTGACTCAGGATTACAATCTTATTCTAAATTAAATATACTGCCTTGCCATGTAATCTGCATCATTAAAAGATAATAAGATTTTTAAGACTGTCAAATCATGTTTTATTGTCTTAAAAATTATATACAAAATCTGTGTAAAAAATCAGTGTTTGAAATATGTAAGAAGCACAGTTATGTAATATTTTATGCAGTATTATCTTAGTTTTTTTAATTGCAAACTTAAATGTGAAACATAATATTTATTTTTCTTTCAGCTAATATGTCACAAAGACCACGATTAAAACCGTCAGCAGTACCAAGTCTCTTTTTGCCCGTTTTGTCAAAAGAAACAGTTGAAAGAAATTTATTGAAACACGAAAAGGCTGTGAGAAGACAAACTCGCTATGAGGAAATTAAAAGGTATGTGTGTGTATAATATACATACGATAATATACAAATTATTAAAGACGCAGTTCTTGATTTCTTCTTGACTTTGCAGTTATTGACAAGTATTAGAAAAACTTGTTTTTGATTTCAATGAATTTTAGTTCAGTAAATTTATATATATATATAAAATATTATTACGACTTTGATTTTTTGTCTGTTGTAATCTTGCATGATCAGACATATACAATAAACTTATGATTATAATAGCTTTCAATTCATATTTGTGTTTTATGTTAGAGTTAATTAAAACTAATTTTTCAGTTGTCATTCTTTTAATGTTCAGCTGACTGCAACTTTTTGTTCATTCTAACGGGTATAATCCAGTTTCAGTGATGTCAAACGTACAATGCAAGAATCCATTCTAGGTGACTTGCATCATGCAATTCCAGAATCGTTGATAGAGACAAAAAATTGCATTATCCAAAAATGTTTCTCTCTTGCAATAGTTTTGTCATTGTCAACATGGGCTGCACTTACCCCAGGTATATTCTTAGCAGAAGGATGATTCTATATGTGATGCGGTACCAGATTTAAGGTACGGTTTTTCGAATTTTGACATGTTGAGCTCAAAAGGTTTCCCATCAGTGATGTAGCTTCTATCGATAGTTGAGTACAAGCTAGAATTTGATGCCATTAATTGAATTAAAATCGTACACTGTTTTATGTTTAAGAATATTAAAATGACATATTTCTGAATAGCTAAATTCAAGTTTTATTCATATATTATAAATTGTGAAGTATAAAATGCAAAAATAGCTTCATAGCAGCAATATCACTTTGGTTTAATTGCACACTAACCTTTAATCTGAGATAAATTAAAGTGAGCAAATATTTAAGTATCCCAATTTGGATTGTTCTTATAGTAATTGATATTTGAATATTATGTTAATATTCAGGCCCACCAACAATTAAGTGATTATCATTGGTAGCTGGGCTGGCTGTATGGGGTTTTTTGTCATGTAGAAAATAATAACATAAAGTTTATTTTTTATTAATATAATTAATTAATATAAAGTTTTTTTATTGTTTAATTATATACATACAATATTTGAGTAAGATATAACTGTTTTTTAAACACGTGAAATTATAAACTATGTGGGTAATTGCATCACAAAAAATATGACATGAACTTTTCTTTAAGTCAATTATTAAGCTTATCTCTGCTTCTGAGAGAATTCTCATATTTAGCCATATTAAATTTATTCTTATGACTGAATGGTATAAACAACATATTTTAAATTGTTTTAGAAATTCTAGCACAGAATTACAGAAATTATAATACTGAATATTACAGACATATAGGACTGAAATCATTTATATGCACACAGAATATTTTGTATTGTTACAGTATTTTGCAAAATAATATATAATTACAATGAATTTTTTTCTAGGAAAAAAGATAACATGCATCAAAAAGTGATTGGTAACGATTCACCTGTGTTGACCACGGAAAACAAGTCATCTGTATTGATCGCAGAAAATGATTTGCCCATATTGACCACAGAGAGCCCTAAACTATCAGCATCTGAAGTCTCTGCTGTGCAGGCATTATTATCTCTACAGGATTTGAAAAAAGATCAAGCTACCCAAGTCACAAGTGGGGACTTAAAATCAACTTATCTTCTGAAAGCCAATGAGCTGTCAGACAATCAACTCAAATCTTTAACAGGACTACATTCAAGAAGCCTCCTTAATTTTTTGAGCAGATAAAATTAATCAAGAAATAAAAATAACAAATAAACATATCTTGCCGCTTAAGGAACGGATTATCTTAACATTGATGAGAATCAAACTAGACATAACATTTTCAGCTCTGTCTGTATTTTTTGGATGTAGTGCAAAAACTGTAAGCAATATATTTTTTACACTGATTCCTATTTTAGCAAGTATTTTAAGTAGTGTTATTGAATGGGTTTCCAAAGATGAAGTTATGGCAAATCTGCCAAAGTGCTTTGCTGATTTTAGCAATGTGCGTGCAGTTCTAGACTGCACAGAAATTGTCATTCAAAAGCCCAAATGCCTTACAGAAAGAATAGTGACATATTCCCAATATTATGGTGATCATACTATAAAGTATTTAATGTGTATCTCACCAGGTGGGCTAATTACCTTTGTAAGCAAAGGCTATGGTGGAAGAGCCTCCGATAAACTAATATTTGTGAACAGTCATATTATAGACATGTTAGAGCCACATATTGATGCTATTATGACAGATAAGGGCTTTCTAATTGAAGATTTATGTGCTGAAAATTTCATTCAGTTAATCAGGCCCCCATTTTTGCACAAGAAAACACAATTTTCTGCTGCAGAAGCAACATTATGTAGAAAAATAGCTTCTGCAAGGGTTCATGTTGAACGTGCATTCCAAAAAATGAAGATATTTGCTATTCTGAAGTCCACAGTTCCATACAGTTTACTTCCACTATTAGATAACATCATGCTAATAGCAGCTGCTTTAACTAATATATCAAAACCGATTTTATCTGAAAATAAATATTAATTTCAATACATAAACATGAAACCCTTCTTCTGTTCAAAGTGCTAAGAATGTAATTTGTTACTTTTTTATTCTTTTAAGGTGGTACACTTATGTATTTCAATCTTATAATTCAGCAAATGTTCAGGATTAACAATCTTGTAATGTAACATATGTTCAGGATTAATCTGTGTCACATTTTTTTAACAGTGTAATTTAATGTGCAGAAAAACCATATTAAGTTCTCAAATTTTAGAAATTATTAATGTTACGAATTTTATTACATCTCTGAGATAAATTTAAAAATCTTGTAATATGATGATAAAATAGTATCGATTGTCTAAGACTAGAACTGTAAACTTTCGTATAATACTTTTTTTCAGATTCAAATAAAGTTTCTAAAATAATCAAGAATTTTATTTCAGGGAAAAATTGTTATCTTCATACATTTCATAATAAATTATATTCTTCAAAATGTAATTCCTGTGGAAATTTTTTTGCTTAAATAAAAATTTCATACAATGTACTTTGATGGTCTCAAAACATATGCTGGTGGAGGACTGGGTTGGAACTGAACTTGTTTGTTTTTTGGTCTGGACGGGCAATTTGAAAAGTTGGCTGGGTGAGGACCTTTGCAGTGATAACATATGGCTGGCTGGTCGCGGCTACGGGTGCATTCTATAGGTTTGTGATTGCCCCCGCAACGGACGCATACCCAGTCTCTGGTGCAGAGCAGGGAACTGTGAAAAAATCCCTGGCATCTATAAGCATTGTGGAGGGCCAGGTTTCTCTTGCGTAATGATTCTATTGTTACGTTCATATAACCTATGCGTTTGATTTTTTTTGAATATTTCCTTATTTTCTCTTCTGATTTTGGTATATGTACTAAGAAAAGCGGCATTGTTTATTTTCTTTTCTGTTTCTTAATAGTGTAATAAAGTTAACCTTAAATCCTTTGTCAAGAAGTTCTTGAGTGATGGTTTGGGGATCTGTGGTGATGGGTAAGCCTCTTATTATGTCTTTTAAAACTTTATCTTCGGGCAGTAAGTAGGTGTGGGCTTTGTTTAAGCTTTAAGCTTTGTTTCTTCGACTATTTTGTGAATGAATCGATGTGAGTCAGAGTCTGCAGGCTGTATTTCAAGGCGGCGTCCTTTTAAGGTGCCAGTTATCTCTTTTCCGGTTTGCTTGTTTAAGTTTTTTAAGAATTCATCATCCGCTTTTTGGTACGTCATCTACGACACATAATTGGCACTTTATCAATTCTGCTTGTTTTGGGGGCTGGAGTTTGGTTTTCTATTTGCGGGAATGGTGTCACTTTTGTTTTGGTTGGTCTTTTGGGGTGGTAGTGAGCTGAGTGGCTGATTCATCTTCGTTGTCCAAATGCATGTCGTCTATTTGGTTCTCTAATTGTTTATATCGATTGCTGGTTTTGAGGGAAGGCTCCTCATCGGAGTCAGAATCCGTTTGTCTATGGCGCAATTTCCTTTTTCTTTGTTCTTTGAAACCACTAACTTTCATACAAGAACTGAACTAAAAAATTCTTTTTAGAATAAATATGAAGATAAGGTTAAAAGCAAACAAGAAAGAAAGAAAGAAAAATAAAACTTGAAATGATTCAGATTTTAACATCACGCAAGAAACGTTTGTTAAGTTTTTTATGCTCTCGCTGAGTTGAGCTGCGAGCTCAGCAGGAATTCTTGCTAAAGCAACATTTTCTGCCTTTTGTCCATAACATTTAATATTGTTAATTATCTGTATTAATTTAATTATCTGTAGGGGCAATAAGTGAAGTATGGAAATCTCAATTTCGAAAACAAATACAACTTTATATTCTACTCAATTTGTTATCTCGATAGCGAATAAATTTTTAATACGCTTTTAAATAAGGGGTAAAAATAATAATTGATAAAAATTACTCTATTGAGAAATTTCTGGCCTCTTTGTTTATCTGAAAATATATAAAGCTAAAATTGCGCCATAGACAAACGGATTCTGACTCCGATGAGGAGCTTTCCCTCAAAAAAAGCAATCGATGTAAACAATTTGAGAACCAAATAGACGACATGCATTTGGACAACGAAGACCAATCAGACACTCAGCTCACTACCACCCCAAAAGACCAATCAGACAAGACTGACACCATTCCCGCAAATAGAAAGAAAAAATCCAACCCCGAAACGATCAGAATTAGAAGTGCCTATTATTGTCGTAGATGACGTACCAAAAGCTATTAAAAAATTTAAACAAGCAAACCCGAAAAGACATAAATTGCACCTTAAAAGGACGCCGCCTCAAAATACAGTCTGCAGACTCTGACTCACATCGATTCATTCGTAAAATAGCAGAAGAAACAAAGCTTAAGGCCCACACCTACTTATTGCTTGAAGAGAAGGTTTTAAAAGTCACAATAAGAGGCTTACCCATGATCACAGATACCTAAACCATCACTCAAGAATTACTTGACAAAGAATTCAAGGTTATCTTTATTAAATTATTAAGAAACAGAAAAGAAAATAAGCAAATGCTGATATTTTTAGCACATATACCAAAATCAGAAGAAAATGAGGAAGTATTCAAAATCAAACGCATATGTTATATGAATGTATCATTAGAATAATTACGCAAGAAACCAAGCCCTCCACAATGTTACAGATGCCAGGGATTTTTATCACAGTTCCTTGCTCTGCACCAGAGACTGGATATGCGTTCGTTGTGGAGGCAGTCATAAACCTACAGAATGCACCAGTTGTTCGCTTATGCGTCAAGCTATTACGCTACCAGCATATCACGGAGTCTACAGACTACTATATTCTAAAGTATTCATTTATTTAATAAAACATCACTCAGGTATATAAAATATAATTAATCTTAAATAAGCCTAACTCACTGCAGAAACATATTTTCCTAATTCTATGAATTGCCCTGCTGCCACTTCCAAGAAAACAAACTAACAACAATTATTAGTGGCCAAAAAGTAAAAGTAATAAGTAAATAAGTATTGTAAAATTATAAGTATAAAATTAAAGGAAAGTGAATACAAAATACGAACTATATTTGTTTTGAAATCCAACATCCTCCCACCTTAAGTTGTTGGGAAACAACTTAACCTATTAGAAATATTAAAGAAAACGTAATGGAAAAACATAAAAAAACTGAATTAAAGTCCAAACATTTATTAAGTACTTAATGCATGCGCAGAAAGTCTAGTCTTTGGATAGTCCTGACTTCTCATCCACTCCTGGTTTTTTTATGCAGAATATTTCTGACCAATTTCTGTATTACTGGTGGTGCTTTTGATAGAAGAGGAGGAAAATCACTTTCCATCATATGAGTCAGTTTTCAAGCAAGAATTTACCTGAACGAAAAGGATATGGCTCCTTCCATATATTCCATTTGTTAACATTCCTGGTGTCCATACATCTGATCTCGAATAATCAGTCACCGAGAAAGGACCTGCTTCAGCATTTACAACGTCTGGTATCATTAATGCTATATTTCCACCTTTCTCAGAATCATATGAGTTGTAAACCAAATAGAGGTCTTCCAGAGAGCATCCAAAGTCAGTTACTGCAAGTCTAGGAGAGCAGGCTCCGTACTGGAAATCTAAGTACTGTCAGTCTTTAAATCTCGATAAGTAATATAATTTTAAAACAAGTGCACTAGAGCTTTCAAAAGCTGAGTAAGCAGTCGCAATGCTTTGTGATCAGAAACATCCATTCTTTTTCAAATATTCTTTTAAATTGTAATTGTATCTCTTCATAACCAGAAACAGAGTCATATTTCTACCACATCCATCACTCAGAAGACGAATAGGAAAGCCTTGTGGATAAGTTGGTGAAGGCATCAGGAAGTAAAGGTGTTTGAACAGCAACAGCAAAATACATTTCATCTATATTTGGATGAGGCCACAATTTCTTTTTTTCTGTATATTTTGTCAGTTCACCCAAAGAAAACTCGCCAATAATTCGCGAAGAATTTGCATTTGGATAATTAAAGATAAATCTTTTTATCCAAGCAATCAACCGTATCACTTTGTCATAGCTTGAAAAATAATAATTGTACCAACTTGATCCGTAATGTCTGTATCCATTATTTTTCTTTTCATCAGTTTTGCAGCTACAAGTATTTGAGTAACTTAGAGAACAGATAGAAGAATGCCCATCAGATTTTGTTTTTCTCTTTTCCTTAGCTATAGAATGCTCATCAGCATTTTGTTCTGTGACAGGCCAGTTAGATTATGATTTTAATAACAAAGTGGGTCCCTCCCACCATTTGCATTTGCTTGACAATAGTTGTTTAGCGGAACATCCTCGAGAAGGCAAATCAGCTGGATTCTGAATCCCAGGATGGTTTGAATGCGCATCTGTGACATCATCTATTATTCCCAATTCAGTCCATTGTTTAAAGACATCATCATAGGCATCAAATAATTTTTCTGAATTCAGCCTTTTATTGAGACTTCAAGTCTTCTTATCGCTTTGTTGGTGAGGAGAGGCATATGATCATCTTTCCACGGTAAGACAACTTCGTACCGCCTATCATCCTTAATTACTTAGTCTCTCTTGAAAATATTTCTTCATAATAAATTCCTTTTCCTTTCGTGATATTACTTCGACTGGATCAGATATTCCTAAGCTGTCTAAGTAAGAGAGGTCAGGAATATTGGTATCTTTGACAAACATTGTTACAACCGACATCGCCGTATCTTCTCTTTCAGCATTCCCAGATGCTTTACCGATCAATGTCCAGCCCAGGACGGTTATTCTACACTACGTGAGTCGACAGCAAGTTGTGGACCGCCAGATGTCGCTGCTAGTAAAAAACAGGTCTGCCTGACATAATATATTCTCTGAGTAGGGAAGCTGTCGAAAGCGCGTGAAAAAGTGTTGCCGCGTAGCCAATCAGGACGCCTATTCTATGATCACTGGATCTGTATACAACTTGAGCGAACAATATTGACTAAAAGAAAACCGATATGGATAGCCATCACAACTTATCGGAGAAAGCCATTCTGCGGTCTTCAGTTGGTGGGCGTGTGGGTCTATTTGACTTTACTGAAAGGGGACTTCAAGGAGCTTTAGACCAATCGCAGTACAGACGAGTGACGAAATTTATAGCGCGCGCCGACTGAAGTTCTAGGAATATTCTCCCATTATTTCACTAACTCACACGCTGCATTTGTAGTTCGAAAAAAAAAAAAAAAATTGCACAAAACAGTATTATGACCAACACGCAGCAGAATATGCTGCTGTGTTATGTGAAGGAAAATCTCGTTTTTTAAGGGGAAAGTTAACGCAGGAATTTAGAGCTAAGAAATAAAGAGTCATATGGGATACCACGAAAGCAATGGTAAATAGATAAGAGTAAATGAATTAAGCTTACTTCAAATCATTTTAGAAATAAACAATTTTAATCATTTAAATTTATAATATGATTAATTTGCATTACAATCTAATAGAAAACTAAGTTTTTTTTTTCATGCTTACATTAAAAC